GAATAAAAGTTTTTTTTTTAAATATGATATAAAAAAAAAAAAAATAATAATGAATATTTAATTATTTTGTAATTTTATCATACTTAAAATTATACCATTGAATATTTCATTTAGAAAATGAACTAATTACAGGATAATTTATAGATGTAATTTTTTTATATACTTGAAAATAATACAACAACTGCATTAAATATTTTTCGAATTTAAATAAAATTTAAATTAATTTATATTTAAAATTAGTTACCCGTGTAATAAAGCTATTTAACAAAGTGTGTTAAAATTATATTAGTATTTTCTATTGACCATAAATTGTTGAAAACTGCATTTTTTTTGTTAATTTTAGCAAAATGATAATAAATATGCATATATTTTAATAAGTATAACGATTCAATTATAATATTCAAATAAAATAAATTCAAAAACAATAATTATTGTTTTAAACTCAAGTTTATCTGTGTTTTTTTTTTATTATTTACTATTTATTTCGTATCGAATTATAATACTATTTTAAAAAATACGATTACTTAAATTAGCTGGTACCTAACTAATAATTAAAATTTGTTTTATATGTAGTAAATGATAATAGTCTTTTGTTTAAATTTTTAGAGTATTGAAGATGAAATAAGTGCAATTAATGATAAACTAAATAAAGCTATTAAACATGGTAATGAGATCGTCGAAAAAACAAAAGATGAAGAAGAAAAAGAAATGATTCCGAAAACGATTGAATCATTAGTAGGAAAAATGAGTCAAGTGAAAATTTGGTTGGACGAGAAACGTAATCAAGTAAGTTAAAACATACATAGAAATCATTAATAATTGTATTTATTAAAAAATTAAAATAAATTATACATAGGAAAAACTGTTAGATTTTTTATTACGTACGCTGTCCAGATTTTTGTTAAAATATTTTATGATAGGTACCTATAAACGCTTTTCAAAAACTTATAAAGGTATTATATATTATATAAATAAATAATTTTTATAAATTTAAATGCGATTCTTTTATACGTATTAAACTCAACAATAATAAGAAAAAACTAAAATAAATCATAATAATAATAATAATACAGTTAATAATAAAAACAATAAATCAAGATAATAATATACTATAAATAAAAACAAAAATAAGGTTTATGTAATAAAATGTGTGATTCAAAGTAGACACTAGAAAATAGATACCTTTAATTAAGTGTATATTTAAAATATAAAAACATATTTTTAATTTAAAAATAATAACACTAGTGTTTTACATGTTATAAGATTCTTTGATCTGTTAAATTGACAATTTTTATTTAGATTGGTGACACTTTGGATGCCTGGCAAAAATTCTTATCTGTTTATGACTTGGTGATGGCCTGGTGCCAAAGTAAAACAAATTATTTGGAAGAACCAATAACTCTAAGTTCACTCGAAGTAGTAAAACAAAAATCTCATGAATTTTCGGTGATATAGCAATTTTATATTTTGTTATACTTTATAAACATTTTATAATTTGTTATGTCTTAACAGGCTGCTGTGAAATCAAGTAAACAACAAAGCAAACATCTAGCTGAAATGAGCAAAGAATTGGAAATCATTGCTTTGTCAACAGATGTTGGACATTTGCCTGAAAAATTAGAAGAAGCTAATAATGCTAAAAATGATGTAGAGGGAAAGCTTTCAGAAAAGGTACAAAATTTTTTTCAAGTAATTTCAATTAATGTATAAATTATAATTTTACAGAATGCTTTATTGCACGAGACATGTGAAGAATGGGAACAATTTGAAAGGAAATTAAAAGAAGTTAAGTTATTTATCGAAAAGTCTCAAAATGCTATTGAATCAGCTGCTAACAAAAAACGAACACTACGTGAACAGCATGATCTGAGGGAAAAGATGTTGGCTGATATAACAATACAAAGAAAAAAAATTACATTGTCTACTGAAAAATTGCAGGTTAGACACTGTTTTGTATTATATTATCTGTAACATAATTTTATTCATTTTATAATATTGTATATTTGTATTTAAGTTCTTTAATCTTTATAAAATCAATAAAATTAAAAATAACATTTATTTTTTTTTTTTAAATAATTAAGTTATAGGCTGAGTATTTTAGCTATTCAATGCTTTAGTGTTACTGGAGTTTTTTGTGCAACTTTTCTATATCTGCTTTTTAGTAAATTTTTATTGTGAACTTTTCATTAAGAATCTTCAATATTGTAAATCTAAAGTATAGTGCAGTTGCAACAGTTATCATATTTTTTTCATTTAAACGATACTAAAAATAAAAAAATGGTTCTCATATGCCTCCATCCCTATTGAGTATATATAAATAAATAGATTAAAAATTATTTAAGGATTAATACTTTATTAGTTATATCATTATATTTTAACATTTTAATGACAAATAAAAAAAAACTATTGACATTTAATTATATATATTACAAAATATTGAATAATGTAAAATATAATCTAAAAATGTAATTATTGAACTCTTTGGTGGTTTTCAATTATTTGTATTGAAAAAAATTGTAAAAGTAAAGTAAAAACTAATAAACAAAAACACAAAAATGATCTAAAAATGATGATTAAAAAAATAGTTAATACATATAATATTACTTTCTCACAGTGTTTGAGAACAGTATTTTTTAAATTCAATTTTAATTCAATTTATACACATTTTATCTTAAAAAAAATTTACATAATATAATTTTGAAGAATAATTTTTACTTATAATGAATAATAATTTAAGAATATAAACATTTAAACAGAAATGGTAATGACACTTAATTAGGTGTAAGTGAATTCAAGTAAATAAATTATAAATTACTACCTATAATAATATATAGGTACTAAAATTGTGTCTAGTTGCAATACAAGTACTACATTGGATATTTTAACTGCCCCAATAAAAAAGGATAGTATCTTGATATTTTCTAACCTTTCAGTATAAATAAAATAAATATTGAAATTTAAAATGTTATTCTATTTTAAAACATAAATTTCCAAAAATTTGGTTATTGGTAGAATTAAAAATTCTAATTTCTTTGGATGGCTATAGATATGACCATTTTTGTGGACAATACAAGAAAAAATTCACTGTCAATAGTAATAATAATTTAGAATTGAAAAAAAAATCGAGATACGTACTACCTTTTTTGTTGGAGCAGTTGATTTGTAACTCGTTACATTTAAAGTTATAAAATGCATTATTAGGTATTTATTTTTATTTTTTTAAGAAAATAATGTCACTATTAACTATTTGTTTGTATGAAGAAGTTTATGAGAAAACATTTTAAAATTGAAATGTATTTTAAAAAAAAAAAACTGTAAAATATAATAATTTTTATTATGAATAATTAGATATCACATAATATTATTGAAAATATACAATTATCATATTATGAGAAACTGTTATATTATATTATGTTGACACACATATGAATAGTATCTAATATAATTTGTTAACATTAATTAACATAGTTATATTAAATTGAATATTTTATATACTTATGAGTTACAAGTTTATACTACACAAATACACAATTAGAAATTATAATATTTTTTTATTCTAAATAATAATCTTTTATTTTTGGATAATGATAACAATTTAACTGTTTAATATTTTATGCCATTTATGTTATATTCAGTATTTTAATTAATAAGTGTAGTAAGAATTTATAAATACTATAGATAATTTCAATTTTTTCAATTATTATTTTTATCTAAACCACTTATGACAATTTTTAGCTTAGGTAGCTTTTTACTTATATTGTATTAAAATCCATTAATGTTTAAATACATGAAGATAAAATATAAATAGAATATTTTTTATAACCTAAATTTTTTGATTATAATGATTAAAACAAAGAAACATATAATTTTTTTTATAAATTAGTTTTAAGCAATTTATTGTACGTAATAATTATTGTTTTGACTTTGTATAATACAAAAATAATAATTTAAAATTTAAAATCAGATTTGTGAATTTGAATTTTAAATATTTTATAAAATAAAAATTAGATATTTTCAAGATAAAATATTATTTTATACAATATTTTGTAGTATGTTTTATATTAATATTGAATTTTAGATTCATTTCCGAGCTGGTTTTGGTGGCAGTGAAAACATTGAACATTTAGCTAAAGACAGTTTGTCTCAGCTAGATAAATTGTTCAAAACTGTGGAAAAGCAAGCACATAATTTGGAAGAAAGTCTTTCACAACTTGATAAATATCAACATGTAATACATTTATACATATTAAAATTAAAATAATACTATTAAAAATTAAAAATACAATATTAACTGTTATTTAATTTTTTATAATTAAGGAAATACAAAATTTGCGGCAAAAAGTCATTACTGCTGAGCAACAATTAAGACTGACACAAAGTCCAACATATTTACCTCATGATAGACAAAAGGCTGTGCAAGAACAAACCGTAAGTATCTACTTACTCTAATAAATTTAAATTAAAAAAATTAGTAATTTTACTATTTGAAATAAATCAACAGTGAGAGATATTTTATGTTATGTATACATACTACTGAAGTAGACATGTTGTAAACTGTAAAGTAATACAATTGCAAACTTGTGTGTAGATAATCGTATTAGTTTATTTTTACAACATTATAAATGATTATTAGCAAGAAGGAATTGACATAAAATAGAGATTATACATTTTATTGTGCATATAAATTACTTAGTAATGACTGAATGAAGTCTAAGTATAAAGTAATAATTAATTTAAGTGTAAGCTTCAGTTATAATGTACTAAGATTTTTTTTTAATAATTTATAAGACATTTTGGACACATAAATTTAAAAAAAAAAATAATACTCTTCTGAATGAAAACATTAAAAAAAAAATCGTTCCATTGATTGGAACATTGCAGGCGTTCCAAGAACAAATACGAGTGTTGCAAAGCAAGATTAATTCAAGAAATGAACGAATCAAACTGATCATTCAACGAGGCTCCCCGATATCCGATCCTCTACTAAATTAATTTGATAGTTAAATGCATTTATTTATATACCTTCGTATTCATTCCAAATTTCTATTTAAGCTATTAAAAAAAAAAAAATTAGTTTCTAAAGGCATTTATTCGGTCATGCAGGACGTTCGAAACGCACTGGAATCATATCGGCAACGTTTGGATTGTACAATGAATGCTGTGCGAACGCATATCAAACATTTTATCGGTTCCAATCCTTTGCTGGAATCCACATCATGTACAGATCCCGTAAAAAATCTTAAAAATCCATCGAAACAAATAAGCCGTAATATTATTAAAACTCCCCAAATAGTATTAAATTTAACCGAAACCGATAGGCATCAAACACAAATTAGATCACGGTCCTCTTCGCCATTTTGGATAAAAGGTGAGACATCCACGTATTCAGAAGTCGTTAAAACCGGTTGTGTATTATCAAGAAAGAACAGTAGGAGCCCGACTCCGGAATTGAAGCAAATCGACATTGTGGGTGGAGCACGTATGAGTAGAAAGTCAAGTTTCAATAATTTACTCAAAACGCCACTATTGATGAGAGACAGAAGTAAATCACCGAAAGATAGATGGCAATCGAAGGATATAGAAAAAAACACCATTTTACGCGTATCGCCGCAGCAGAAATCGTCGTCTTCAGCGATTACTGAGAATGAACAAACAAAGGAAGACGACTCAAATTACGATAACCTCGCACCACCAAGTGCTAGATCCGTTAAACGACGATCTCGTTCCAGGAAGAACCGAAATATAAGTGAGAAAGACTCCGGAAACAAATCAGACGCCAATGGTGAATCCCCAGTAAACATCAAAGAAACAGTTACACCCTTAAGCCATGCAATAGACACCTCGAGTTCGTCATCGACAAAGAAACCGGAAATCGTCGTTTCAGACGTAAAAATCCGACGGAACAGCAAAGATAACCTTCAATCTGAGAACTTGGCTACTCAAATTTCTGCCACATGTAACCCGGTGATTCGCGGTGGTAACTGGGAACTATTGACTGTAGCTAATGCTGCTGAGGACATTGGTGACTTTTCAAAATCCCGACGATCGTTGGACGGTGTCTTAGGTAACACTAGATGCTCAGACAGTTGTTTCGATCTTAATGAACGATTAAAAGGGATATTTGGTTCAGTTAACCAGAAACACTACAGGCATCACCGTGTTATCGATCGTCCGCGATCTAAATCCGATACTCGTGATTTGAACGAACTCACGCAGATATTTACCAACCCCAATACTGATGAAAAAAATAAGTACACGTGCCGTTTCGAACGTAGTGCCGGATCGGTAAAAACCCATCTCAATAGGGATTCTTCTTCGGGTAGACGTTCTATTGATAATACTATCTTATCCCCCTTTGGAAACACGCAAATGCAACGGCTATCAGACGGAACTACTGACATGGAACACGACGAGTCTGTAAGGTTACCTACCTGAATGTTGACGTTTGTGTAGATTTTAAAATTGTTTTTGTCTGGGCTTAATAATTTTTATTTATTTTGTGTGATAGTTTTGATTAATATTCGTATTTTTTGTACTTAACTATTTGCCGATTTTTTATAAAATCATTTCTTGTATTTAAATTAATATTATAGGAATTCTGACATGTTTTGAACTCTTCAATAAATTATTTTTAAATCTGATTTTTACATAAAGTTGTATTTGAAAGATTAAATTGGTAGATACTTGTTTTTTTTTATTGATTCTATCTTAAAATTTGTGATAAATAAACAAATAATTTTTATGACATTTAAATAAAATAAATATTTATTAAATGTATGTGATCATATCAAATATCTATAGTTTTTACATAATAATATTAACAATTATCAAATCTAAAAAGTTGAAAATATTTTCAAATAGTTACTAATATTTTAATATTTGTCTGAAAAAAATACAGTGGCGGCATACGTAATGTATAATACTAACAGATATGTTTGTGATTGTAAATATTAACTTCTATTTACAAGCTACAACCATAATATACCCTTGATCCATTAATTTTAAATATAGAACTCCAATAGTATGGTTTTTGTGAATTCTACTGTTATTTGTTAAATAATATAATATTTATATAATATTTGTGAATTATTCATTAATACAAAAATAATACTTTAAAATAGGTACATGGTACATAGTCTAAATTATTTGAAAATTGTATTTATGTTTAGACTATCAAATCACATTTACAAGCACTAAGCGATGAGAGTATACCATTAGAATTAGCAATGAAACCATTTATGATATTTGATGAAGGGCATACTGCATTACAAGAATTAACTTCAACACAAACTTTGATCACTTCATTAATCACTGATGATAGTGATCAATCACAAACTAAGGCAATCAAAGAACTGAAAACATGTGTAGAACAATATGAACAAATTTTAATTGAATTAGAAACTAATGAGGATAAAGATGTAAGTATAATACTTAATTATTATATGCCTAAATACTTAAATCTTACATAATATATTGTTTAGTGAATATTATAATTAAAGTAATAAAGAAATACGTACATACTAAATATAATGTAAATACTTTTATGTTTTCTCTAGGAATTATATGATTTAAGTACCAAAATCATAAAATTAAAAGAAATTATAACTAGATACAAATCTTACGAAGAAATAGAAGAATTTCAAATACTAATTGTTCATCTCAGAACCATCGTTGAAAAACTTGGGAATTTAGAAATTAACAGAAATAACATAGTCACTCAGGTAAATCAATTAACTTAAAGTAGATATTTTTTTATATAATTTATGGGTTCTGCTCATGGTTATTTAATAAGGTGCAATAAAATAAATATTTAAATATCGATGCTACAGCCCGTTACATTTGTGAATTGTATTAGTCGTAAATGATAATATTATTGGTGAATGAGGTTGTATACAAGACGTAATATAATATAATATGTATACTGTATAGGTATGCATCGCAAACACTGTGATAGTGGTATTGTCAACCAAAAATAAAATCCGTGATTTTTCATTCAAAATATTCATTTTAGTAAAAACACTTAGAGTTGTCTCCTGATTTAATTGGGTTTTTTTTTTAAACTAGAAAGATAATTATTCTTTATGAAGTACCATTATACTCTGATTCTTGATTACATTACTTTGAACAAAATTAATTTTAAAAAACAAAGATTTGTAAAATTTGGCTATATTATTTTAGATCATAGTATTATAATATTATGGTTCAGTAATTTTTTAATAATTTGAAAATCGAAGTCAAATGTACTCTGTAAGAATAAGTGTTTTAATTTTGTTTGTATTATGAGGCATCAGTTTTCTTGTCAAACATGTTTTTGAGCAAAATAATAGGTCACTTGCAGGCTCTTTATAAAGTCCGACTTATTTGAAAATAAAACAAATTGTTCATACGTTAAGTTTTTAAACTCGAAAAAGTATATACCTATATAAATTGATTAATATTTACATTGTTTTATTATAAATTTAATAAAGTTTTAACTAATGTTAATTTATTTAGAAGAAATTAAAAGATGCTGACGATATCATATGTTATTATGAAAATTGGTTATTAAAAACTGAAAATGATGGTCCCAAATATGTGGTAATTATATTATTAAAATTATAGATTTACTTTAGACTGATTTATAATTCATTTTTAATTATTTTAGGATGATATTGAAGAAAAAATTATTCAATTAAAGGATAAATTACATCAACTTAAAACATACGAAGATAATGTTGAATATGAGACACGTGTTTTAAAATTTCAATATATAATTGAAAAACTTGGAACTATTAAAGATAACTTTACAAAATTAAATCAAAAGGTATGTTTTTATAATTATTTTATATATTAATAGTTTTAACAAGTATAAATGTGTAAATGTGATATTTAAACTGTAGATTTTGTATAAAACAGAATTTTGAACTGTGAATTATTAACTTATTTATTATCACAACTTTTTTAAAAATGCACAGTATTATTTAGTTGGCTATTAGATAAATGTATTTGATTCAGTTGATTTTATTAAACATATTAATATCTTTTTAATCACTCACTACTTTTGTGTTGAACATTGAGCATACAAAATGTTCTACTGATGTTAAAATATTCAAACGAAATGTCCACCATTAATTCAGAGACCATAATTTTCATAGTTTTTAATTTTTAATTATGATATAATTTATCTTAAAATAACAAATATTGTCTGCTATTATAAAGCTACAACTAGTGTAATAAAACTTAAAAATTAAAAATCAAATTATATTTAATAAAGTAAAAAAATCTAAATTAATAGGAATTAAAAAAAGAAAATATTTATTGTTCAAATATTATAGGTACATTTTTGAGTAGGTATCAACTTGATTTAGAAAGTAATAGGTGTAATAGGTTCTATAAAAATTCATTCAGTAAAAAATTATTAATAGATATTTTTTTAAACGGGTTTTTTACAAATTGAGATTTTGTATAGGTACAGTGTAATAACGTATCAATTTTAACTACTAGATGATAATATTTGTTGCCACCATAAAATATTTAATAGGTAAAACTAAATTTTTTTTATTTTTATCATTGATCTTATTTAAGCCCGGCGGCAACTACTGCCATTAGCTGTGGATAAGAACAGTAGGTTTTTTGTATAAGGTTTTATTTGGAAAGTTTGGTTAGTACGATTGGAACACGAGGGTGCCATGGATTCGTCACTAAGAACTCGGGTGGTCACCCATCCGAGAACTAGCGACACTGGCCGATGCTTGACCTCAGAACACATTAGTGACTGAGGCCAACCACCGCGCCACACCAGGCCACCTAAATTTATTGTTTTCAATATTATGTGATGAAAATTGCTTTCATAAATCATTTTTCAATTTATATTTTTTTCATATAAAATATTTTGTTTATTTTTTTCATATATATTTATGATATACTATTGTGAGGCTGTAATTCAAAGAACACTACAATTGTATAAGTTTATAGTAAAAATAAGTTTAAAATATTTAAATTTTTTTATGAGTAGTGAGTACCTTATAATAATATAATTAATTGTAAATTGTTAAAATCATATATCTACTTAAAAACAAATACCTAATTAAAGAATAATAAAAGAACTTAATTCAACATAATAATGAAATAATAACAGTTGCATAATATATTATATTCATCATAATATTAATAAATCATTTTATTGAGTTCATTACATTTTGAACAATGAGAATAAAAAGTATAAATATTTATGTAGATCAAAAATGCTTTATTTTCAGGACACAAAGTACAATGTTGAAAGCACGATTATATCAACTGAATTATCTTGCATGAATTCGCCTAAAGATTTGTATAATACTAGTGTAGAAAGCATGACAATTCCAAAATTAAATTATTCATTAAACCACCCAAAAATAGGATTACAGTCACAAGAAAAATATTGTGCTATCGCCCCGAGTATAATAAAAAACGTTGAAAGAGAGAATGAAATAAACACAATTAGTACGCTAAAAGATAGTGAAGTTTTGAGAAGTCCAAAGTTAGTGAGGAAAATGAATCAAGCATTACGAGATGAATATAAGAATGATAAAATTGAAATTAATGTTGATAGTATTAAAATATTAGGCTCTCTGGAACAGACTGGAGAAAACTTAAATCGTTTTGAAATTGATAAGCCATTGGAGAAAACAATAGATGTAAATACACAATTTCAATCTGAAAAAATACATTATGATATACAAAAAGCAGAATCACCAGAAAAAAAAGAAGAGAAAAAATCTAAAGGTTTTCTACGATTTAAAATGCCAAATATATTTATGAAAAAATCAAAACAAGGTGAAATCGACAATGAAAGTATAGTATGCGATACACCGGAACAAAATGTAGACATTGAAAGTGATAATGTCAAACTACTAATGTATAAAAGGATGAGCAGTATAAGTAATGATAACAACATTTTACAACAAAATGAAAACCAATTGAATAGTGAAAATAATAAAAATTATGAAAAAGATAATAATCAAAAAACCCAAGATAAAGACTTATCTTATATAAAGGAAGATAATAGTACTACACTTACGAGTATCAATGATAAAGTGGCACGGATAATTGAACAAAACAAATTAAAATATCCAAGCGATAAAACGATTCATCAAGTTGAAATATTAAAAAAGAATCAACTGAATACACAAAATTCTAATTTTCCGATTACACCTGATACACAAATTATCATAAGTGATCCCGATGTAATAATAAACTCCCGCAAAACAGTTAGACACATAATAGTAATTGACGGGAAAGAAATTATAATGGAAGATATTATTGATGAACCAAAAACTGGTGAACCCATTAAAAATATTTTGAGAAAAATAACCAAGGATGGTCAAGAAGAAGTTGAAAATATTAGTGATCCAGAAAAAATTGAAAATATGTTACGGTTGTCTGAAACCAACGATAACGTAGAGAATACATGTGTAACTATCACAAAAACAAGTAAAACAATTTTAAGTGATAATAATATTAATGAAAAAGAGTATGTTGTTGGAGAAAAAGTAGATAGACCTATCATTAATGATATGACTGAAAAATTTATTAGAAACACATTCAAAGACGACAATGAACTAGACAAAGTGGTTAAAAATCCGGATAAAATAAAAAAATTGAATGCTTCTCAGGAAATAAAAAACGATTTCATGACTGAAAGTAAAGTAACAACCACTAAAATCCAAAAAATAATAAAGCGAAAAATAGTCGATGGAAAAGACATTATAGATGAAGAATATAACAAGACTACAAACGAAGAATTTTAAAAGAATATTGAACAAGTACTGAATACAAAAGATAATGAATACATAGAGGATAGTTTGATATAATTCAGCTTTAGGTATTGAAGAACATGTTAAATCATTCAACAGTAAACCCAGGAGAGGGATCGCCGTCATCAGAAGTACAAGAACCTGTTGAAAATAAGTACATAAATAAATCGTCAAAGAAAATGAAAACTCGCCTTCATTCTTGAGTAAACTAATGAGGAAAGGATTTAAATGTCAACATCAAAAATAATAGAAAATCAAGGATAATAATACTGATGAAACTTGGAAAGATAACAATATCAAATCAAACTTAAATATTTTCTTGAAAAGAAAGAGACAACAATACCCAGCAATATACAATTCAATCAAAACTACAAACTCAGAAGATTCTAAAAAAGAAATTTCAGCAACAATCGAAATTCTGACATCAAATTTAAGAAAGGAAAATCGCCAAAGGACAGGCCGACGGAAAAGAAACGATATCCGTTGGACTTCCTTCGGTATCTGTGCCGAGTGTTGACATCAAAACTCCATCAATACCTAATGTGGAGGGTGAAATAATAACCGTGGAATCAGGATTACCATCTGTCGATGTACATTTACCAACGGCTGAGATTAAACAGCCAGAAATTTCAATACCCGATATCAAAGCTGATGTAAAATCTAGCAAATTCGAATTGTCAGACATTAAGATTCCGGGATTCAAGAGCAAAAGATAAAACCGAAACCACTTCGGAGTTCGGTATTAAAGTCGACGAAAACATTTCGGTCGACATTCCATCTGTTGACTTACCTAATGTCAAACTACAAACTCCAGAAGTTTCTAAAAAAGTACAGCAACAATCGAAACTCCTGACATCAAATTTAAGAAAGGAAAATCGCCTATAGTAATTGAAAACATTGAGTTCAATACTAATGAAAATATATCAGCTCCGGTTGCAGAGGCAACAATAAAGACTTCCTCGATCATGAATGTGGAAGATCTCGTGAAAGACTCTGATATTAACCTGACTTCGACTAGTATTTGTCGCAAATATACCGATGTAGACTTTGATGAACATAAACCAAATTCAGGATTCAGAAAACGATAAAAGGAAGAGAATTCGCCGTGCTAATGAGAATTTAAATTCTTCATTTTGCAAATTACGAAAGGTTTCAAATATCAACATCCAGTCTAACAAAAATGAAAGATAAAGCTGATCGGAAACTGCGTATCCGACGAAGCTACAAAATCGTTATTAAGGTTTGGCCTTCGTCGGACCTGGAGATATTTCCTCATCTTTATCTTCATTTGTTAGAACAGATGACAATATTGGCTACTCGTAATTACAAAATAATTAAGTATCATTGCTGG